CATGAATTCAGAGGAATTTGTGGTACCCAGAACCTCTGAAAATTCAGTCCACTTTGATTCAACTTCCTATTATGGAGTTAGATGCTTAACAATAGGTACTCAGGTTTTAAAGTACTGTCTTATTCACAGACTAGAAATGGGCTTAAACTAAAACTCTAGTTTTAAACACTCCTGAATTTAGGGAATATTTTGATCTGCAATTTGTGCCTTGAGCTTAGCTCCTATTAAATACTCTTGTACTGACCTACTCCTCTATCCATTCAAAGGAGGTAGGATGTTTACAGAACTTTTGGGTATTGTTATCCTTCTCTTTCAGCGAGTTATTTGACCTTAATTATGCTTCTATCCTGAGAAAAATGAAGGAAGATGAACAAAAAAGGAATCTCCTTCCACTCCTCCTTGATGGGGAGAATAAAAGCAATTAGAGAGAATACACTAGCTAGAAGGCTGCACTTATTTCCTGCTCTTCCAGTGATTCTCAATAAGAGGCTCTTTGATGAACTTAATTGAATGATTTCCTCATTCCGGTGGAACAAAAGAGCTCATAGAATCAGAAGAGCTGGCTTGATTAGACCAGAAGATAATGGAGGGTTTGCATTCCCATGAAGCTCTGCACTGTTACCTTCCTCGATTCTGCACAAGCGACAGCAAGGCGATGATAGGGAATCCCACAGAATCAAAGATATGTCACTTTCCTACAATAAAATAGGATATGACCAAGTTGCTGACTTAGTTGCCTAGTGAGAGTGCTCTGCACTTCAATGTGATGATTTGGGTTATGCTTCTGTTCTCAGTTCCCAGAGCCAACAGGGGCTGGAAGTACACTAGAGGCTGAGGCCTTTGCATTTTAAATGTAGTAAGAGCTGCCAGCCTCCAACAGCCTCTGGTCATGGGCAGGGACTGCTCCAGCAGCCCAGGCCACTGTGAACAGGGACTGCTGCTGGAGAAGCCTCAGCCCACCGCAGGCAAAGACTGCTTCATGGCAGCCTCCCCTCCCCTACCCCACTGGCCGGGGCGGGAAAGCAAGTGGTCAAGTACTCCACTTGACTACTTGATAAGTTTAGCCTTATCAGGTAGTTGATTACTGGACTACTCGCTTACATCCATAGCCTAGAATGGAACTACTCTAAGGTGGGTGCACAACTAGATGGAAAACCCTTTCCATAGAATAGTGATAAAAATTTAGCCGTGTTAGTCTGGGTTTAGTCTTTTTTTTTTTTAATTGTATCCTTTGGTATATATGGTTGTGACTATTTTCTTCCACTATTTGATCTGAGGAAGTGGGTCTGGCCCACGAAAGCTCATCATCTAATAAACCATCTTGTTAGTCTTTAAAGTGCTACATTGTCCTGCATTTTGCTTCACCTTCCCATAGAGTCGTTATCAATGATACACAGCCATGCTAGAAGGGCATATTAAGTAGGTTCCCACAGAGTCAGCTGTGAATCTGGTTCTGTTCAATAGCTTTATCAACGATTTAGATAATGGCATAGAAGAGCGTACACTTACAAAGTTTGTGGTTGATGGAGAGCTGGAGTATGGAAGTGCTTTGAAGGATAGGGTTAAAATGCAAGATGATTTGGACAAAATGGATAAAATTATATGGACAAACTGAAAGTAGGAGGAAAAAATTCAGTAAGGTTAAAGACAAATTAATCCACTTAGGAATGAACAATTGCACACACATAAAATAGGAAATGATCATTTAGGAAGGATTACTGGGAAAAAGTTCTGGGAGTCATAGTCATGAGCTGACTATGAGTTAACTGGGTAATGCTTGGGGGAAAAAAAAGCAAACATCATTCTGGGCTGTAATAACAGGAGTATTTTAACCAAGACATGATAAGTAGTTCTTCCATCCTACTCCAGGCCGAGTAGGCCTCAGTGGAGTATTATGTCCAATTCTGGGTGCAACATTTAATGAAAGATGTGGACAAACTAAAAAAAGTCCAGAGAATAACAACAAAAATGTATAAGATCTAGCAAACATGACCTATGAAGGAAGATGGCAAAAACTGGGTTTGTTTAGCCTAGTACAGAGGATCAAAGGGGAAAGTAACAGTTTTCAACTACATAAAACATTGTTACTCAGAAGAGGGAGAAAAAATGTCTTTTACCTCAGGATAGGACAAGAAGCAATGAGCTTAAATTGTAGCAAGGGCACTTTAGGTTGGACATTAGGAAAAACTTCCTAATAGAGATGTTCAAATGTGATTAAATAATCATGTAACTGCTGAGAATTTCAGCCATTTCACAGGGGGAGCAGGGCAGAGAGGCCGTCCCACGCTGCTGCCTCTCTATCAGAAGCAGCAGATGAAGGGTGGAGGGAGGAAGGCAAGAGCCAATGCGTGCAGGAAGCCAACTTAAAAGCTGGCTTCCCCAGTCCCCATGCTGCTGCCTCTGATACAAAGGCATAGTCGATGGGGCTCTGGCCACGCATTCCCTGCTGCGCCTCAGAATTTGAAATGTTCAAGAGCCCCATCGACTATTCGATTAGTTAATTAATCTAAACTTAACATCCCTAGTGAAAGGTAGCAATTTTTAGCCAGAAAATACTTTCTCCATCTACAGTCTTCTTTTCCCACCTGATTATGGGGAAAACTACATGAGAGTCAATCCTGAAATAATTAATACATTTTCTCTTGTAGCTTTACCCACTCCCAAGGCTAGATGGTACCTCTCTGAAGTGCTCTTTTGACATTTTTCATATGCCTGAATTTTTCCTACCAGTGTTAGTTTTTAGGTGGGCCCAGGCCCTAGTGCAGGGCAGGGAAGGCAAACAAATACAGTTAGTAAGCCCATACCCTGGCGCAGGGCAGGGCAGGCAAACAAATACAGTTCAACAGTTAGTAAGCCCATGCCCTGGTGCAGGGAAGGCCAGGCAAACAGACATAGTTCACAGTTTAAGTGCAGGGAGCGTGGGGCTTCTGCTTTTGAAATGTACAAGAGCCCCACTGGGGCTCTTGTACATTTCAAAAGCAGGCTTGCAGCAGAACCAGCATGAGCAGAGACTGCTTCATGAACCAGCATGAGCAGAGACTGCTCGCGCCTTTTCCCGCTGTGCCTCTACCTCCCATGCCCCCTGCAGAGACAGTGCTGAGGGGAACTGGCTTTTAAGCCGACTCTCCCCAGCACTGGCTCCTGCTCCCTCACGTTGCTGTCACTCTCTGATAGAGGCAGCAAGCGGAGAGCGGGGGGCAGAAGCAACTAGTCACAATGGATTAAGCTTATGCTTATCGGATAGTCAGCTAGCCACTTACATCCCTACCTTTACCATAATAGAATTCTGCACAAAGATGCCAGTGCTAATCGATAGACAAACAAGACAGACTACATTTTTGTACGAGTGACTTTGTACATTTTTTCTCCATCCTGTGTTTACACATGTTCTCCTCCATACGTCTCTGACTCTTGCTTCACAATAGGAGTTCCAACACAGCAAAGAACACCACTTGTGATGTGAAGATACTGAACTCCTGACAGATTACAAGAGCTTCTAGCATGATTATCTTTTACTCTGAGGTGAAAAGTAATAGAGAAAAAATGCTAACAAATGCCAATGTATTTAAGAGCCGCTTCTAGACACATATTAACTTCACTAGGGCAAAAATTCATCGTTCACCTGCCTTGAGCCACAAAATACAGACACTTGGATAAACAGACAGTAAGAAGCATCATTTTACCACAGAATTCATATTCTTTGCTTAAGTATTATTGTAAGTTAGGCTGGATCATTTTGCAATATAGGCGGAGTTGGTACTTTTTTCAGGGAGGTCTATTCTTCACTAGCTAGACTAAACAGCATGCCCCTTTCCCACCCATACTGCACTCCTACAATAGACATGTCAGAATGAGATCAGAATGAGTGACAGCATCTCCCAAACTTTACTGCAGCTGTGAGGCCAAGAATTTGGGAGCCAAGAGACCACACTGGCACCAATTGTGATGGAAAGGACACGGAGCTGCTCTGGAACAAGTTTTGAGTGTTGTTTTTCTATGTATTTGTCTGACTGTTGGTAAGAGATGCTTGCCAAATGTATATGTTTGGTTTAATTTAACAGCAGGCTTCTGAAAAAACAAGCAGGAAGGAAAGGAATGGCTTCCGATAAGATACCCCCAGAGGGATTAAGGGAGAGTGCCTGAGCTATTAAGCATGAAGCACCTATTTCCTTGGCCCCAGTTAAATTTTACAGCTTATTTTGCCAATCTGGAAATAAACAGATCAAAAAGACCATAAAGATGCCAAAAGACTCACTGGCCAGAGTCTGGGAGTTGTTTCCAGGGAACAGACTGACACCCAAAGACATCTGTTCACCTAGAATATCACACTGTAATGCCTCTGAGTGAATCACAGTAGCTAACCATATTCCTAGAGATAACTATTGTAATTCAGTGAGGAGTGTTACTGCATGAAATGTAAATTTAATTTACAGCATTTAAAGCAAGAATGCTGCAGTGAGGACTAAGGATGCTAAATTTTGATTAATTGACTAACGAATAGTTGATGCAATTTGCATCAACTATTTGATTAGTCAATAAGGGTGCCTCTGCCTTTGAAGTGTAGCAACAACCCCAGGGCAAAAGCACTGAGGCTTTTTTTTTCCAAAGGCAAAAAGCACTGAGGGCAGTCCCCCCACTGGCCCCATGCTCCCCGCGGTGTTTCAAAGCGGCAGGGCCCCATGGAGCCCAGGATCAGCTGGAGATTCCCCAGCTGACCCTGAGTTCTGTGCTGCCGTTTTGAGACGCTGCAGGGAGCCCAGCGGCGGCATTTGCTTATCAGATAGTCAACTGCTTGACTAGTCTTTCACATCCCTAGTGAGGACTATAAGGAAGTATCACATTATTCTTGATCTAATTCCACAGATGCTGAGGAGCTACAGCAGAGAAGAAACTGGCCTCAAGACTCTCATCCTCTGCAAACATGAGAAAAATAAAATGTGTTTATACTAACACAAGCACTATGACATTACAAGGAGGATGAAACCTCTGAAATATCCTACCTTTCGAGGAGCATTTTTGTCTGAGCTCTCCACATCTCCATCCAGGAATGGCATGGCAAATGAGCTAAGATCCTGGAAGGGGAGAAAAGGAAAATAAATACTTAGACTTATTTCCTTCCTCCTGCTTTGCTTTAGGCATTCCTATTGTTCTAGTCCACATTTAGTTCCTGAAGTATCCAGCAGCCTACCACACACTACTTCACAAGTAAGCTTTAACAACTGCTGCAGTACAAGGGACCTCTTCAGCACTCTCTACCTTTGAAGTCAATGGCAGATTTGCTTGAATAAGATGGGAGAAAGGAGTGCTTACAGCAGGGGCCTAAGCCTCATCTCCTTGAGACTGAGAACCCAGAGCCTTATGCTACTTATGCTAGAACTTTCAAAGGAGATTAATGGAGTTAGGTTCCACTGAAATGCATAGAAGATTATATTTGGGATAAACACAGTTGTTCACTAGCACAAAGATCTTGCCTCTGGCAGTGACACTGTTGTTATTTATATGCAATATTTAAAGCAATTAAGAGAAAATACAGATTATCTGAAAACATGTAACATTATTGGAGAGAGAAGACAGACGCAGCATGGAGTTGGGAAAATAACCCTTGTACAATCACAAATTAGAGAGGAGCACTCAATTGTCTCATGGTTCCTCTTCACTTGATCAAGTATGCATAGTCATTCTTAATTAATGAAAACAAACTGCAATTAAATTCCACCCCCTGCTGCCTGTTCTATTTTCCAGTCTCATAATTTAGACTAATACCGTTTTTAAATTAATAATTAAATGTTTTCTATAAGACTCAAGTTTATCATCCTTTTGATCAGAGAGGTGGGTAATATGCAACTCACACTATACCGCTCAGAGCGGACTTATTCAACTTTATGAACAGATGTTTGGTAATAAGATATCTGACTGCAGTTTGAGCTTTTGACCCTAGGCTGAACAAATAAGTGTTTTTCCTGATGTGGAATTACATGCTCCCTCTCCCTCAGATGTAGTTCAAATGCAGGGCATGTTAGTAGTGGCTGTTTGGTTGGCCTCCATTTGGTTCCTTATGGAGAAGTGTCCACAGCACAAAAGCCACCATCACAATTGGCACCCTTTTGGAAAATCAGAGAGTCTCTTTTCAATTCATCACTAAGAGCAACACTTGCATTTGAACCACATCCAATAGCTTTATTTTTTATTTTTTTGCACAGTTCATACAAACTTAACTTATGATTAAACAGTTTTTCATTACAAATTAACTTTGGCCTTTTTTGAGTTTGGAGGTGGTTTTGGTTTTTACTGGGAAAGTTTGTTTTTTGTTTTCTTTTTGCAACGAAAGTGTGTGGCAAAATGAGCAGAGTAACAATTGGTTTCGTCCCAGAATACACAATCATCCTAAATCCAAATCACCATTTTTTAAGCACAAAGAAACTTCTGAGACACACTCTTAACGACTATGCCTTTTTAATATTCCTGTTAGAGTCCCCTGCACGCCTCCCCAGGGCTGGTGTAACAGCAGAACTGTCAGTTTTTTTCTGCAGTATAGGGTTGCCAGATGATTTCAGAAAAAATACCGAACAACAACAAAAAATGCCATGAAAAGGTTTGTTGAGAGAAAAAAACCGTGGCCCCTTAAAAAACTGCGTGGTGAGGCTTTTTGGCCCTAACAGGCTGCTGATGGCTGCCCGCCATCTTGCCTGTCTGCTGGGCTGGACAGCTCCCTTGCGGAACCCCGTAAGCACTAGGGTTGCTAGGCTGTCTCCGTATTGAACCGGGCAGCCCAGGATTTTCGCCTCCTGGCCGGGAAAAAAAGTCAGAAAGTACCAGACATTTTAGGTGTCCGGTGTTTTCTGAATTTTTTTAACCGGATAGGAGGCGAAAATACCAGGCTGTCCGGTTCAATAGCGGACACTTGGCAACCCTAACAGGGTAACTCTTGTACCGTACATGATAAAGTGTCTGCTGTGCATAAGAGATTCTGCATTCAAACCCCAAATGGAGTTGCACAAACACTGAATGTGTAATGAAATGAAACTCCTTCAATACTATATATTTGTTCGGTAGGATACAAGTGTTTCGGTTCTAGCCATTTTGTACCATCCAAATCCAGACTGTAGTGGAATGTCACATTTCAGCAACTCTACACAAAATATTAATTCAAATTTTCATGGAAATTTGCTATCATGTGGCACTTAATATGAACTTTGTACTCCTATTTATATTGGCGGGACACACTGTCCTCTCTGCTTCCACAAGGTAAGGAGATTCAAAACTGGTAAATCTTGGTGGGCATACATTGCACAGGACAAAATCCCACATTAGGGTATTGTGCATCTTATACTTACCACCTCTCTGAAAGCTATTTTTTTCCAGCCAATGGGAGCTGACAGGACCATTCTTATGGCGCAAGCAGCACACAGAAGCCTCCCTCTCCCCCCGAGACTCACATGGCCTCACCAGTCATCAGCTTTGAGTGGTATGTAGCACCACAGCAAGCAGGGGCCGGCCCAAGGGTCCTGCCTAGCTGCTGGCCATGAGCCACCTAAGGTAAGCACCTCCCAGCCAGAGCCTGCAACTGGCACTCCTCCCCTCTGCCCTCCCTCCTATATCTCTGCATCAAGTCACAACCCCCTCCCAGAGCCTGTACCCCCAAACCCCTCTCCTGAGTCACAATCCCCTCCTGCACTATGTCACAACCTAAACCCTCTGCACCCCCTCCTGCACTCCTGCCACTGGTGATAACACCCTCCCAGGTTATGCACCCTCTCCTGTACACCAATCCTTTGCCCCAGGTCACAACCGCCTACTTCATCCAAAGTCCCTCCCAAACCCCACACCCCCTCCTGCAACCCAATCTTCTACCCTAAGAGCCTTCTGCACCCAATCTCCATCCCAACCTCCTTCCCACACCCATTATCTCCTCCATTAATATCATAGAAGAGTGCAGTACTTGACCACTTACAAAATGTTTAGACAGCGCTGGTCTAACCTGTTCTTAAAACCTTCAATGATGGAGCTTCCACAACTTCCCTAGGCAACGTTGTTCCAATGCCTTTGTAATGGGTGATCGCTTTCCCAATTATCACCCCTAATGTCATTACCTCACAGACACTAACCTTCCCCCCTCACCTCCCCACCCCATTCTAAAATCTGATTTGTCAATTTTATGTGTTCACTTTTTTTTTTTAATTGTATCACTTTGGTATACATGGTCGTGTCAATTTTCTTCCACAACTTGATCTGAGGGAGTGGGTCTGGCCCACGAAAGCTCATCACCCAATAAACCATCTTGTTAGTCTTGAAAGTGCTGCATAGTCCTGTCTTTTGTTTCAGCTAGACCAGACTAATACGGCTGCATCTCTATCACTATTGAACTAAGGTAGGTCAACTCCACCTACTACACTATTCACGAAGCTGGATTTGTGTACCTAAGTTCGACACTTCCCCCTAGTGTAGACCTGGCTAAGTTCTTTAGACATGAGGTATGTTTCTGCAAATCTGTCATGATGGAGGGACTTTTCTTTTCCAAGATAACCTTTTAGAAACCCTGCAAACCGCAGCCAATGACTACAGTTCAAGTTAAAAATCAGACATGATTCTACATCATGATTCTAAATCTGTGTCATTAAGAGTCTTGCACATAGAAATCATGGCTTCTAGACACAACACTATGTTTTTGCTTTTCCTTTTCGTTGTTGAGCCAAAATGTGGATGATTTTGAGAATAAATCTTAGAATTTTGGGCAATTGATAGAGATGATTTAATGGCTGCCTGTACCCAGTGCTTTCTGATTTACTGGGGTCAGAGGTGCCAAGACAATTATCCACATTTAATCCACTACCTAACAATATCTGAGGTGCTTCTTCAACATGAAGTGACCCATCACATTTTAACCTAATGGTTTGCAGATAGCTCTATTTTCAGATTAAGATACAAAGAGTTACTACATTTATAGGCCATTTAGAACAGTGATTCTCAACCTGGGCTGTACGTACCCTGGGGGTATGCAGAGGTCTTCCAGAGGGTACATCATCTTATTTAGATACTTGTCTAGTTTTACAATAGGCTACATAAAAAGCACCAAGAAAGTCAGTACACACTAATATTTCATACCGACAAAAAGGATTTCAGTAACAGTTTGCTGTGATACTTTTTTATGTTTATATCTCATTTTGTAAGTAGCTTTTAAATAAGGTGAAACTTGGGGCTACACAAGACAAATCAGGCTCCTGAAAGGGGTACAGTACTCTGGAAAGGTTGAGAACCACTGATTTAGAATATCAAGTTTGGTCATGGACAAGGTTGGTTTTTTTTTAACTATACCAAAAAATATATCTATCTATCTATCTATGATTGTACCATGCTTAATACTGTAAGTAAAAGTGCAGGGAGGTTGAAATGGAGAGAGCCTTCTACTCATATTTGTTGGTTTCCATTATGAACACAGCACTGAACCTTGCTGTATTATTTTGTTCTTTGTAGGTATGGTTACTCATTCCCTCCCCACTTCAGTTAATCTAACACACGTGTGATCTGCAAGACAGAGTGATAAATTACACTATGAGACTTTAGGATTTTGGTTTCTAAGTCTCAGTATGACTCAATGAGTGGGCAGTGACAGATGCATAATACTTGTTACATTCACAGTAGCCAGGTTTGTATTTCACAAGGCATGACTGATTTAATTCTGATTTCTCGTTGTTTTTTCCAAGGATGTTCAAAATAAAAGAAACCATCAAGTGGAATTGGATATTGGGAGCTGGTGGAAACGAGACATGGAGACCTTCATCTCTGTGTTGCAGGCTCAAATCTAACCCCTATCTTGGTGCTTGAAAATCCCCTATATAGGGACTATTCAGTGCCCTCTGTACAGTTCCTGAAGGATAAGCATTCTCATCAGAAAATCCTCACCACAACTGCTATTTAAAGGCACCTTTTTAGGCATACTAAGCAAATAGGCAGAAGATTAAATGGACATAGAAAATGAAGCTAGTTATGTACTCCCACACCTATTCCTGTACCATGTACAGCATAGGTGGCTACTGCTTTACTTGCTTAGAGCCTCTGTTAACAGAGAGCCCCT